GAATCTATGCCGACTACTATCCACGCATCTCTGATGCAGATAGAAAATGCGCCGGACTGCATGTGGCGTGCACCACCCCTAGGCTAGGATCACATCCATGCATGTGCGGTTGATGCGTTTTTGAGGCGCATTTTGCATTTTTCATGCATGTGTTGATGTTGCTAGGGTGAAGATGTCTGCACCAAATAACGAATGTTCTTCGCGTGTTTTTGAATCCCATTGAAGTCTATGGAGCCAAAAAATGCACCACGCTGCGAGCAAAACAAAAGTCCCTGCACCTTTCCAAAAAGAGCACTGCAGGAAACCGCAGAGATGTGAACGTGACCCATAGGGACTAATGTTACACGGACTGTAGTGCCATTCTGCAAAATGCATCATTGTGAACCTAGCTGTACGGAATATTCTGAAATGGGCGCAGGCATGTGGGGTGCAGGCATGTGGGGCGCAGGCATGTGGGGTGCAGGCATGTGGGGTGCAGGCACACATGTGAACTCACGCCAGGGACAGGTACTGTGAAATAGACACGCGGGGTGTAACGTATCCTAGACAAGTTCTATCCTATTAGAGTTGGACGCACTCCAGTTCCGATAAGATTTGTACAAGTGAAATATAGCCAGGGGCGGATACTATGAATAGATGGGGGGGGGGGGGGAGGAAAATTATTAAAAAAAAAAAAAAAAAAAAAAAAAAAAAGAGTGTCTGAGACAAGTTCTGTCTCAACTGGTACTGTTGCCCATAGCAATACCGGGGGGCACCAACCCCTGGGCCCCAACACCAGGGCAATGACACCAGGAGCCCCAGCACCTGGGCCCCAACGCCAGAGGCAATGACACCAGGAGCACCAGCACCTGGGCCCCAACGCCAGGGGCAATGACACCAGGAGCACCAGCACCTGGGCCCCAATGCCAGGGGCAATGACACCAAGAGCACCTGCAGCTGGGCCCCAGCGCCAGGGGCAATGACACCAGGAGCCCCAGCACCTGGGCCCCAACGCCAGGGGCAATGGCACCAGGAGCCCCAACCCCTGAACCCCAACACCAGGGGCAAGGATGCAAGGAGCACCAACACCAGGGGCAATGACGCCAGGAGCACCAACACCTGGGCCCCAACAACAGGGACAATGATACTAGGAGCACAAAAACCTGGGACCAACACCAACGTTAGCTTATCAATGGAATATCCAATTTCCACCCCCCCCCCCCCCCACTGGAGCACATTGGATCATGCTTTGAGGTTTTTTTTTTTTTTTCCTTCCTCACAGCCCCCATCAGATCCCACCTGGTCCCCGTGTTGCGTGTGTTCCTTCTTCCATCCCTTCCTTTTGGTGGTGGTGCTGCCCCCCTTAAAAAAATGCCACTACCCTCCGAACGATGCCGCTGCCCCCCCTGAAAAATTCCGCCCTAAGCAAATGCCTTGTGGTAAATACGCCCCTGGGCGCAATATAAATCCTGTATAATAATGCACGTGTACTGATACAGTCTGCGCTTTTGAAAAACAACAGACTTGCTGACTGGATCACCAGATGAGAATAAGAAGAGAGCATAAAAAAAGGGAAACGAATGCAGCCGGCGCATCTAAGATTTGGTAAGCTGCAATATGTTTGCTTTTGGGTTTAATAGTGCTTTAATCGCCCCCCCCCCCCCCCTGAAGCATGCCAGGATTGAGACTCAGCATGAAAATACAGGAAAGTTTGATGCAACAAAATAGGGGTACAGAATATTAGAAAAAGAAAAAGGAAAAAAAAAAAAAGAGAAAAAAAAGAAAAAAAAGAAAAAAAAAAAAAAAAATAAAAAAAAAAAAAGAGAAAAAAAAAAAAAAGGAAAAAAGAAAAAAAAAAAAAAAAAAGAGAAAAGAGAAAAAAGAAAAAAAGAGAAAAAGAGAAAAAAAAAAAAAGAGAAAAAAAGAAAAAAAAAAAAAAAAAGAGAAAAAAAAAAAAAAAAGTTAAAATAAAAGAAAAAAAAAAATGTATGCACACAGAAACATTACTTAACAAATCACATCATCATCGATCTCTGGCATCGCACACATCACATCATCATCGATCTCTGGCATCGCACACATCACATCATCATCGATCTCTGGCATCGCACACATCACATCATCATCGATCTCTGGCATCGCACACATCACATCATCATCGATCTCTGGCATCGCACGCACACATCACATCATCATCGATCTCTGGCATCGCACACATCACATCATCATCGATCTCTGGCATCGCACACATCACATCATCATCGATCTCTGGCATCGCACACATCACATCATCATCGATCTCTGGCATCGCACACATCACATCATCATCGATCTCTGGCATCGCACACATCACATCATCATCGATCTCTGGCATCGCACACATCACATCATCATCGATCTCTGGCATCGCACACATCACATCATCATCGATCTCTGGCATCGAACACAAACTGCACACATCCAGACACGCTCAGAAGGGACTCACTTTGTGCTTCGAAGAACAGGTGAACCAGGGTGTCATCCTGGCCCCGTCCCGGGTTCCGGCCACAGACACCTTGCGATACGGGAGCCCGAAGCGGAACACAAGAATCTCAGAAAAGGTCTATGCCAGCTGCCATCTACCCCGAAGACCGGTGCCCCATTGCCTGCCCCAAGACAGGGCAGCACCGGCAGTCATCTTCAGGTCATTGCCGTCTCCTCCATCTGCTGCTTCTCCTGCGATGTCTCCCCCCTCCCCTTCAGCACTCAACCTCTTCTCTGCTCTTCACACAACTAAGGACTTCTCCCAAAATGCTCTCCTTGTAAACACAGCGGGCGTCTCTGGCTCTGTCCCAGGAGGGGGGGGGGGGGGGGGGGGGGGAGGCTGCTGCTCTATTTTTTGCTCCAGGAGGAGGTTAAACAGCTGAGATAGTGAGGAGGATCTGTACACACATGCCCTGCATTCCCATGCACTGAGCCATCCGGCCTGCCTCATAACTCAGGGCAGGGAGCATTAGAATAACAATTGCAGGGCTGACACCCGGCCTCCCAATTCTTCTGTCACTGGAGGCTCTGCTACTTCCTCCTCTAATATGATTAGGGGGGGGGTAAAAAAAAAAAAAAAAAAAAAAAAAAAAAAAAAAAAGTACTTTTTGGAAAATGATGTTCTTAGAAAAATGACGTCATGGGGGGCTTTTTTTTTTTTTTTTTTTTTTTAGGATGTAACTCATCAGCTGAATAATCTTCATGTGACTCTTAAAAGACACGTGTACGGATGTAATTCTGATGAATGGGTTCACATTTGAATCTGTAGCCCGGTTCACACTAGGGAGGGGCCATGCGGCGCGCGTTTGGCTGGGGACAGCAGCCCATTCATTTGAATGGGCAAAAGTGCCAGCGTTTCACTCAAGGAAAAAAAGGCGCACGGACATTTTCTGAAAACGCATCTGCAGGGGAAGACCATGCGGTTTCTGCGCAGTACCCACACCCGCGATCGCACTGTGGGATGGAGATGTGGGGGGGTGCTATTCAAAATGAATAGCAACCCCTCCCCATCAGCGTCTTGCAAGAGAAGCCCAATGCGGTCCCACACCCATATGTAAACGGTAATTGCATCACACGTGTGCCATGTCACTGAGAACAATAGAGCGAGAGCAATAATTCTAGTACCAGACCTTACAGAGTTACCTTGTTACATAGTTAGTCTGGCTGAAAAAAGAAAAGTCCATCCAGTTCAACCATTTAAACCACTACAGGGCGCTTCTAACCCCCCTCCCCGCCTACCGGGCGCTTCTACCCCCTCCCCCCCCCACAGGGCGCTTCTACCCCCTCCCCGCCCACAGGGCGCTTCTACCCCCCCTCCCCGCCCACAGGGCGCTTCTACCCCCTCCCCGCCCCACCCACAGGCGCTTCTACCCCCTCCCCGCCCACAGGGCGCTTTTACCCCCCTCCCCGCCCCACCCCCACAGGGCGCTTCTACCCCCCTCCCCCCTCCCCGCCCACAGGGCGCTTTTACCCCCCCCACCCCGCCCACAGGACGCTTTTACCCCCTCCCCCGCCCACAGGACCGCTTTTACCCCCTCCCCGCCCACCGGGCGCTTTTACCCCCCCCCCTCCCCGCCCACCGGGCGCTTTTACCCCCTCCCCGCCCACCGGGCGCTTCTACCCCCTCCCCGCCCACCGGGCGCTTCTACCCCCTTCCCGCCCACAGGGCGCTTCTACCCCCTTCCCGCCTACAGGGCGCTTCTACCCCCCGTCTTCCGGCCTACAGGGCGCTTCTACCCCCCTTCCGGCCTACAGGGCGCTTCTACCCCCTTCTTGCCTACAGGGCGCTTCTACCCCCTTCCTGCCCACCGGGCGCTTCTACCCCCTTCCTGCCCACCGGGCGCTTCTACCCCCTTCCTGCCTACAGGGCGCTTCTACCCCTTTCCGGCCTACAGGGCGCTTCTACCCCCTTCCGGCCCACCGGGCGCTTCTACCCCCTTCCGGCCCACCGGGCGCTTCTACCCCCTTCCGGCCCACCGGGCGCTTCTACCCCCTTCCTGCCTACAGGGCACTTCTACCCCCTTCCTGCCCACCGGCGCTTCTACCCCTTCCTGCCTACAGGGCGCTTCTACCCCCCCTTCCTGCCTACAGGGCGCTTCTACCCCCTTCCTGCCTACAGGGCGCTTCTACCCCCTTCCTGCCTACAGGCGCTTCTACCCCCTTCCTGCCTACAGGGCACTTCTACCCCCTTCCTGCCCACCGGGCACTTCTACCCCCTTCCTGCCTACAGGACACTTCTACCCCCTTCCTGCCTACAGGACACTTCTACCCCCTTCCTGTCCAGGCCAATTTCCAGCTTTCAGCGCTGTTGCACTTTAAATGACAATTGCGCGGTCATGCAACACTGCACCCATATGAAATTTTTATCTTTTTTGTGATAGAGCTTTCTTTGGTGGTATTTAATCACCTCGGGGTTTTTTATTTTTTCTTAAACAAACCAAAAACCACTGAAAATTTTGAAAAAAAGTTTTTTTCTTAGTTTTTGTTATACAATTTTGTAAATAAGTAATTTTTCTCCTTCACTGATGTGCGTTAATGAGGCTGCAGTGATGGGCACTGATAGGTGGCACTGATGAGAAGGCACTGGTAGGTGGCACTGATGACCATTGACAGGCATAACTGATGGGCACTGAAAGGCAGCACTGATAGGTGGCATTGATTTGGCTGTTAGGTGGCACTGATGCACACTGATTGGCTGTTAGGTGGCACTGATGCACACTGATTGGCGGCACTGACTGGCATGGATAGCTGGCACTGAAAGGCAGCTGAGATGGGCACTGATGTAGCATTGATGGGCACTGGCAGGTGGCATGGGTGAGCACTGAGAGCTGGCACTGATGGACACTGACAGGTGGCACTGCTGGGGCTACACCTGATCATCAGTGCCCTGATGATCAGTGTACATGTCCCCTCTGATGAATGCCGATTACCAGCTCTCCTCTCCTGTCAGCGTGACAGCTTCCGAGGAGAGAAATGCCGATAACCGGCATTTCCCTGTTTACATGTGATCAGCTGTGATTGGACGCAGCTGATAATCTTCGGCTCTTTCCCTGGATCAGCGATCCGCTGTGTCCGAGGGACATAGCGCACCGCCGATCGCCCACGCTCCCGGAGCCGCACACGTGTGGTTAGAATGGGAGGACGTCATATGACGTCCTCCCAGAATGAGAGAACCACCTGGCGTCTGTCATATTACTATATGGCGGGTGGGAGGTGGTAAAAAAAAAAAAAAAAAAAAAAAAAAAAAAAAAAAAAAAAGTTATAACCCTACACCCACAGTTGATCCAGCAAAGCACGATCCAATTTGCTCCTGCAGGGGAGAGAAATCCTCCCTGATCCACCGAGAGGCAATCGGATATTCCCTGGATCAACTTTCCCTATAAATGTTCTATCCAGTTATATTCTGTGTATCCAAGAAAGAATCCAGGACTTTCCTACAGCAATCCACTGAGCTGGCCACAACCAACTCTGGAGGGAGTCTATTCCACATTCTCACAGCTCTTACTGTGAAGAAACCTTTCCGTGTTTGGAGATTACATTTCTTTTCCTCCAGACGTAAAGAGCGCCCACCTTCTGTTTAAATTATCCACAGACAACACTTGAAAAAACATGTACAGGTTACCAGTTTTAAAATGAATGTAATGTAGTTGGCTGCCATTCCAAGGGTGTGCCCCATTTTAAAGCGTCTCACGTCGGGTATTCGTTTACTCAGCGCAACATCAAAAAACTGGGTATTATATTTTGTCTGTGTGCTTTAAAATTCATTAACGTGTTTTTTTTCCTCTGAAAATTTGCATTTGATAAACTGAAGCGCAAAACATTGTGCGACATAAAGAAATTGCAACAGCCACCATTTAATTCTGCAGGGCCTTTGCTTTCAGAAAAAGTATAAAAGTTTGGGGGTTCCAAGTAATCTTCCTTCCAAAAAAAATGCAGATTTTTTTACTTGTATGTGAGAAATGTCAGAATTGTACCGGAAGGCACATTGAGTAAAGCTGGCCATACATTATACAGTTTTCTTGAGAACTTTGCTTTAGATTTACCAAAAAAACAAAAAAATAGGAGGTGAAAACCAAACACTATCAATTGTATCCCATTAGGCGGCTCTTGCAGTACATAGTTGAAGGTAAATCTAATGGAAATTGTACAGAAAGTTTTACAGTGTATGGCCAGCCCGAGGTCTGGCTGGAATTCGACCTGAGGGACTAAGCCACTGTGCTAAAAGTACAATATATATATATAGCCAAAAGTATTAGCCCCACCCTCCCAATCATGTGATTCTGGTGTTCCAATCCCCTCCCAATCATGTGATTCTGGTGTTCCAATCCCCTCCCAATCATGTGATTCTGGTGTTCCAATCCCCTCCCAATCATGTGATTCTGGTGTTCCAATCCCCTCCCAATCATGTGATTCTGGTGTTCCAATCCCCTCCCAATCATGTGATTCTGGTGCTCCAATCCCCTCCATGGACACAGGTGTATACAATCAAGCCCCTAGGCATGCAGATGGCTTCTACAAACATTGGTGAAAGAATGGGTCGCTCTCAGGAGCTCAGTGACTCCAAGCGTGGTCCCGTGATAGGTGGCCACCTGGGCAATAAGTCCATCCGTGACATTTCCTGGCTACTAAATATTCCATGCTCAACTGTTAGTGGGATTATAACAAAGTGGAAGCCACTGGGAACAACAGCCATTCAGCCACCAAGTGGTAGGCCACGTCACATGACAGGGCGGGGTCAGTATGTCCGCAGCCTCCAGTCACCCCCTGTGCCATGTCCGCAGCCTCCGGTCACCCCCTGTGCCGTGTCCGCAGCCTCCGGTCACCCCCTGTGCCGTGTCCGCAGCCTCCGGTCACCCCCTGCGCCGTGTCCGCAGCCTCCGGTCACCCCCTGCGCCGTGTCCGCAGCCTCCGGTCATCCCCTGTACTATGTCTGCAGTCTCCGGTCACCCCCTGTACTATGTCCGCAGTCTCTGGTCATCTCCTGTACTATGTCTGCAG